TTGAAACCGTTGTTTGTTTTCTCCGCTGCCAACAGCTTCCTCTGTTAGGATTCTTCGGATCCTTGGTTTCTTTTCTTGTAATGGCCTGTCCTTCAAGGCCCTCCAAGTTCACTATTAAATGACATCACTTGTCACTTAAGCAACTCCACCCAAACACAACCTTCAGATATAGAAATCGCTCTCTCTATCTCCCGCTTTCCCCTGTGGTGTCTGTGTGTGTGTGTGTGTGTGTGTGTGTGTGTGTGTGTGTGTGTGTGTGTGTGTGTGTGTGTGTGTGTGTGGTGTGTATATGTGTTGTGTGTGTGTGTGTGTGTGTGTGTGTGTGTGTGAGAGAGAGAGAGAGAGAGAGAGAGAGAGAGAGAGAGAGAGAGAGAGAGAGAGAATCAATTGTCATTTAAGCAACTCTCTCCAAACACAATCTTGAGGTGTACAAAACTCTCTCTCTCCCCCTCTCTCTTTGTCATCTCTCTGTGTCTGTCTGTCTCTGGCTCTCTCTCCTCTCTCTGTGTAAGCATGTTCACACACATAGCAAACTCAGAAACTTGTATTATATAGAAAATACCTCCCACCCTCCATTCATGTTGGCCTTTATATCATGAATGACCCATTAGTATAATAATTTGAGCTTTTCATTAATTGTTGCCTCTTTTACATTTTTTCCAAAGCCTCAGGGCTGTTTAATGGGGCTCTTGGGTGTCTAAGTGCACCCCCTTTGTGCCCTACTCTCACCATCATCAAACTGGCGATTGTTTAATAACTAGAAAATCCACAATCATTTGTAGACACCTGAAAACTAATTCCACTTTTTTCTCGCACTAGCCTGGCATGTCTTTCAACGTCCTCCAGATTCAATATTTAGTGATGCCACTTGTCATGTGAGCAAGCGTCATCCAAACACAGCCAGTGCTAACTGGCTCACTAGTCTTAGATTTTGAAGACAAAATCCCTTTGTGAATGTGTAAGTTTTTAGAGTGAGGCTTAAGCTATAAGTACCCCAGTGGGAATTGAGCTTACTATGACAAGATCCTCTTCATGGGGACATGACCATCAGCTATGTCCCACACCAGGGCTTCTTCTCTCTCTCCATGTAGCATAGTTCTCTTCCATGGCCCCAGAGTATCTAGCTAAACAAAATGGAAATCTGCATATCCCATAGCATGTGTGGGCATTGGTATGGATTCTCCTGTCACCTATCTGTTGTACACCTGATATGGTGGCCTACCTTCATGTATACTGAAACCTGCTGCATGTTCCTGTCTGCCATGTTTTCTTCTATGGAAGTAAGCTAATGTACTGTGGTTGTTCAGCTCACGGCCATCGCCTCCCCAGCACCCACTGCTCTGGTCCTGTTGCACAGCTGAGCTCCACGTATTTAGCTGTAGAGATAAGCATCATGCAATATCCCTTATTTTGTTTCACTTTTGCTTCTACTGGAAATAGAACATAATGATTAGAAAACTTTTCCCATTTTGAACTCCCTTCTTACTCTATTATATATATATATATATATATATATATATATATATATATATATATATGATTTTATATAATAAATATATTTTTTAATTCTCATTTTAAGGCTATGTATTACTATACAATTGGATTTTTGCTAGTTTTCAATCACATAATATTCACTAAAAATGATTTTGATTTTCTGAAGTTGATCTTTTAGATAAGCCAACATTGTTATTGTTCACAGCAAATGTCAAGGGACAGCTCTTCCTTCGAGGGGAATTTGGGAAGAGGAGGGTAATCTTTCTGTCTGAAGAATATACAGTGGTCAATGTCATATATTGTACATGACTTAGTGTCTCCCCTCTCTTCAGCTCTTTCTTGTTTGTATGACCAGGTCGTCCATGGAGAGGCTGTCACAGAACAGTCCATTTTCAGTGTCCTGGAACCAGCACAGACAGTTCAGTCATGTGACTCCGAAGCCCATTGTCTAGTTCCCTGTAATGATGCATGGCAGTTTTCAGCAGTATGGGCATCCACAAGGGAGGTTACAAGCTCCTTCAGTGCGTGTTTCTTTCTGCCCCTCCCCACAAGGAGGAGAACTGGAGTCACCTCCCTCTTATTTAGTGAGCTTGACTGGGAAATGTGACTTCAGCTCTACTGTGGTCCAGGATTTGCCTCGCCATTAACCCCTCTCCTTGCGTGCCTTTGGTGAACACGAGGGTGTTCTCTCTGGCTTTGAGTGACAACTCCGACTCTCCTTGACAGCAGCCTGCTAATAGGGGTTGGCAGTTTGAAAAATAAAACGAGGAGGGTTTGTTTAAAGCTGAGATAACAGTTCATATTTTGAGATGCTCATTATTAATTCCAGTATGAAATGATTTGCACTTGTTATTAACACATTAAGACAGCCAAGGAAAAATTAGAAGGTGACTCAACAGGGGACATCCAAATGTGAAAGGAAGAAAAACACAGAGGGAGACTTCTTCCTAATGAGCTGAGTCCACGTTTAAGAGAGATCATCCATCTTCAAGTTTGATTGGTTGCTTCAAGGTTTTGGTGTGTATTTATTAATTAAAATTTGTAACTGATACATAAAAATGTGAAAGGTGTACATAATAATGGAGTACCATGGATGATTTTTTTTTTATATTCCACATAGTTGATACAGTGGAATAAAGTGAATTGTCATCTCCTGAGAGATGTATTACAATGTTGTGGCATATTGAATGCATAAAGCTGAATACCTGTTACTTCAAAAGCATCCTAAATAATTTAACGTTTTATCAGTAAAGTGGGAGATAAACTGTGATGAGACAGAGGCTCATCCTCAAAGCTGAAGAAATACCATCTTCTATAGCTTGAAAAAGAGGCATTTATAATCTAAGAAAAAGCATGTGTCATACATCATAACGTGTGTGTGTTTGTATGTATATGTGTGTATGTATTATGTATGTATACATGCATGTATATGTGTATGTATTGTGTATTCGTGCATATGTGCATGTATGTGTTTATATGTGCATATGTGTTCATGTATGTGTGTATGTATACCTATATTTGTGAGTATATGTGTGTATCTAAATGTGTGTTTATGTATTATAGATGTGTATGTGTGTATTTGTGCATATATGCATATGCATTTATATGTGTATATGTGTGCATATGTGTATGTATATGTGTCTGTGTGTGTCCATATATATGAGTGTATGTGTGTATCTGTATGTATGTTTATATGTGTACATGTATGTGTATATCTGTGTACATATGTGTGTATGTATATGTGTACATGTTTTATGTTTGTATATGTGTGTATGTATGTATATGTATAACTCAACTGAAAAGTCATATAACTAAAAACTAAAATTTTCTAAAATTTTTGGTCACTATTTTCTTTTCTCTGCTATATCCTCACCTTGTTTTTGACAGTGAGAAAATAGCATGGTGAACCAAGATGGCATTCCTTGTTTTCTGTTCTTTTTCTAATTTGAGATTGTTAAATTGTAGTGTACTCACCTTATTAAATACTTAGAAATAATTGATAGTTTCAAGGTGTCTCCCTTCCTGTTCTCCCAATTTCCTTGGGACTTTAAATATCATGAGCTGTTTCTGAGAATATTACATCTAGACCAGCTCTTCTCTTCATGCTTCTGATTATTTAGGGGTTTAACCTGAAAGAAACATCACCTAGAGGTCAACTGAACAAGTGAAAAATTGATATGAGACTGCATTTTAAGGAACTTTTTCCTTCTAGTCCAGTTTATTTTTCAAGTTTCATTGAAGAAACAATTGCCAACTGTACAGTCTAACAGTTATTTTTAACATTGTTGAGAGGGAGGAAGTAAAGAATAATGTGATAGAGTGTTTATTAATAAAAAAGAGCAAGAAAAAAGTATGTGGGGGGTTTTAATACATTTTGTCATGATGTCTCTATCTTTAATAGCATATTAATTAATGTACTATGAAAAGTTTTGTTTTCCAAAAAGCAGCTTCTGTATAGAAAGGGGTAAACGTGCTAGCAACTTTATGTTTTGTACAGAAGAAAAAAAGAATGTTGTAGCACACATGAAATCTGTTTGGTAAATAACTTATGACAGGGATGAAATGTTCCTTTAAGCTGAAGTAGCTATTGAAGTTTGAGAAGTTATTTTCAGAATGTTGATAAATGAGAAATTGCATTCAACTGTTTTTCACTCTTTTCTCAACAACATACAAATAAAAGTTAATTTTTCTGTGAGAGTAACTTTTAAACCACGAAGTGGTTTTTTTCTTTACATTTTTCTCCATAGCAGCCAATTTTGTCAGAAGCACATTATTTCAGGCCCTAATTGCAGTGAGCGTGGTCAGGTTGCTAGCCCTGCTGAGGTTGAATTGCGTTTGAACTTTCTAATCTTTCCTTCAGAATTTAATAACTGACTCAAATATTTAATAGTGGGAGCTTTTATTAAGTTAAAAAGAAATCAGAATATATTTTTAGAAGAACTAACTTATTTTCTTTATCAGTTTTGTCTACTTTCGGGGAAAAAGAACAGAATGGAACCAATCCCTTTGTATACTTAAATAGACATTAATGCCGTAGCCCAGAGCATGATTTCATTCAGTGTATCACTGTTCAGAAGGTTTGGGAGACATCAAATGGCAGTAATAACTGTGCTTCCAGGTCTGCTGAAGAGCAGCTTACATTGGATGTTTGAACTTCTTCATTAGTCCTGTCCATAATTATTCTTTAAAACCCCATGAGCTTCTGAGGACAGCCCTTAGATTCCTGACTCTCTGGCCTTGCATCACCAAACACATCTGTTAAATGCAGCATCAGGTTCTAAAATGCAGGTAAGGAAAGATGAGGGTTGGAAGATGGAGTGCATGTATGCGGTCTCACCTAGAGATGCCCAACGAGCCTTCAGTGGATTCATTTACAAGTCTCCTTAGAAACGGAGTGGTGAAACATGAAAGTGTGTTATAAACCCTTTTAATTAAAATACATTGTACCATATATTTTCTTCTCCCCAGGGTTCATTCAACCTCTGACCTCTCATTTTGTCCTGCAGGCACTCCACTGCTGGTGAGGAGAAGCAGTGAACCAGCACCAGGGCTACATGCTGATGCCCAGCCAAGCGCTGCAAGCCCCAGTGGCCAGAGTTTGAAACCTGTTGTTCCGGTAGGTGTCTTACCATTCGAGTTTCTGTGAAGGATCAAAGGACCTTGCCCATCAACTCCAAAGACCTGATAATTAGATACAGGCCTTTTGATAAAATGCAAAGTAGTGGTCATAAGAATAGATAGCATGATCTGTTGGTAGTATATAGTTACAGCGATAGCCATTACTTACATAGAACTGATTGCATGACAAACCCTGTTCAAATCCTCACTTAAATGTCTACATGTAAGTAAGGGTAGATTTTAATCTCCATTTTCCTGATAAAATATAAGGCAGGGGGGACATTCAGGACACATAGCTATTTGTTCAAGGACACGTAGCTAGGACATGGGAGACCCAGGAACTGAACCAACTGTTCTGGCTGCAAAGGCCTGTTTCTAGCCAGCATATGACCTTGCTGTATGCCTGCTGTTATCCTGCTTCAGAATGTCAAAGTCTAGATCGGTGTATTTTCAGTGATTTAGCACAATGCTTTGTAAGGCAGAACAACGTGAATGATGATAGAGTTTGAGCTCCCAATAGCATGAATACATGAGGCCAGCATTGGAGTTCTAGAATTCAGCATTGAAACTCAAGGAAAACAAACTCTAGAAGAAAAAATACTTCTGAGACAACATATTTGTAACTGCTATCTATATTCATGACTGATACATTAAGTGAAAGATTACTTCCAGGAAAGGTATTTCCCACCCATCCACATAGACTGTGGAGCTGTGTTCTTTAAATTCTCAGTTGGTCCGAAGAACTGTAATGGCGGTTCATCCATCCAGATAGCCTGCGAGTTAAACATTGGCTAATGACCATACATGTCATCACAAAGAACAGCCTCCAATAATGTAACCATATTTTCCACTCTCCTAAAAGCCCATCCGTGTCTCATTACAAGTCTCACTTTAGAGCACTTTATGAAAGATGGATATTAGGGTGATGGATGGGCTAAGACAATTCTCAGTTTGGTATAATTTTGTTTTGAGGAACCTGTGCCAAAGTTTATAAAATGGGGGCTGCTATGCTACATTATTGAATATTTACCTGTCAATTAGGGTTTTCCCAATTTTTGCACATTTTTTTCCTTAAAGTAGTACCTTTAAAGAATTTTAGATGCAATATTATCTTATTATCCTGTTTAAAATGCTGTCCTCTGGATGCTGGAAATGGCTCAGTGCTTAAGAGCACCTTCTCTTTTAAGTATGTATTTTATGACTTATTTTTTTTATTATAATTACATCATTTCCCCCTCCCCCTTCCTCCCTCCAAACCCCCAATATACCTCTCCTTGTTCTCATTCAAATTCATTGGCTCAGTTTTTAAATTGTTGTGTTACATACACACACACACACACACACACACACACACACACACACACACACACACATACACACATCCTGCTCAGTCTGTGTAATGCTACTTGTACGTATGTGTACATTTTCAAAGCTAACTCTTCGGTATTGGATAGCCCATTGATTATTTCCCCAGCTTCCAGCATTCTTTACTTGCTGTAGTTCCTCATGTAGGTTGAGGCCTCATGGTGTCCCAATCCACTTTGGCATGCCTCTTGGGGCATTCCTTGTTCAGCTCATCTTCAGCAGCCATGATGGAGAGCACCTGCTTTCCTCACAGGGGGCTCTGTTGGGAACACCATCTCCTGGGAATTCAATGCCCACTTTTGGCCTGTGCAGGCGCTTCACTCATATGCATGTATCAACACATATAATCACATAATTAAAAATGTAAACAAAATATTTTAAAAACCTCTGCTCTTTAGGGAAGTATATTTGATAGAACATTAATAAAAGTTGGGTATGTCTGATCGACTTTATTAATGAATACGGAGAAAGCCAATGTTTGGTATTTTGTGGAGATTTTGTTTGTTTTCATTTCATTTTAAATATGCAGTGATTGAGACCAGGTTAAGTCTAAATATATTGAATTGGGAAAAGAGAATGATATAAGTATGAGAAAATTTACATAAACAAGAATAAGTACAATTTAATGCATATTTTATGATGTCTATATACCCTAAAATGAGTCTGTCTGATTAATGTGTTATCACTGTTTGAATGCGGAAAATCCACCCACATATATTTCTGTTTGTATCACATAGACTCAGTCCTTAGAACAATTGAAATAACATAAATATTGCTTTCTCTTAGAGAAAATTAGGGCTCCCATCTTTCTAATAGTGTTATCCAAATATGACCGCAGGGAATTCTAAGTTGGGTTGTGTAGTTGGATGATTTAGTATTACTAGCAGAGATGTGTATTGTAATTTCAGGAAAAAATACTACCACTCAAAACGCTTGTACCTTGCCTTTATGTGGGTTACAGGGCTTGCATGCCTGCACATCAGCAGAAAAAACGAAAGCATCCATTGTCCTTTCCTCCATAGCAGGCTATGTGCATGGTGCTGAATACAGACTGAGGCATGAAAGACACGGTCCTTGCCTTGGTGCAGGACTGAAGCACATGGACTTCTCTTGCTTCAGTTATACAATTATTCAATATATACAATATATATATAGATATATATAGATATATCTATATTTATATATATAATCTGTGGATTGTGTGATTCGCGTGTTCCAGGAGCACATGCTATGCCATGCTTTTCTGTATCTAGAGCCAAGTACATGGAAGGGGCCCCCTGTGCATGCTTTGGATTAGAAATGAAAGATACATATAAGCCGAGAGGAAAATCTTAAGAGTTCCCCATCAATAAACAAACTTTATTTAATAATTAACCTAACCCAGCCAATCTTCCTGTTACCTATTACCCACCCTTCAAAACTCTTTATTTTTTATAATGTTTATTTCGTCTGGCTAACTCAGGATACTTTAATTGCCCTGTCGTAAGAACTGTAGACAGTGAGTAGAGATTCTTGAGCTGGTGTCCATTTCCACTTAGAAGAGAACATCATTTGTGTGTGTGTGAAAAGTCTCATTAAGTATTTTTTGTTGACTCTGTGCTCAAATACGTTTGCTATCTTGGATTGAATAAACTATATTGAATTATTTTAATTATTTTTATTTTTCTAAATGTGGTTAATAGCAAACTATAAATTATATTTATGGTTCTTATTGCATTTATATTGGGTTGTGTTCCTCTAGAGAGAAGTGAAATCAGGTGTAAATTAATGAAATGATTTGAGACCCTGGGAGAAGGTCTCCGAGCCCCGTGTCATCTCTTGAGTGTCAGCATGATTAATTGTCATCCTGGCTCCTTCCTGTGGAACAGTGCAGTCCCCTCACTAATTCTATAGAAACCCAGGTACAGATAAAAATGCTGTGGTTCTAGATGTACCCATGTAGTTGCTATCAGTATTTGCTCAGTGATGAAATACTGACTTGCTGGGCATTAACATGGGAAGATCACCACCACAGACCTTACACAGTTGTTTCTTCGTGACAAGGACTGTAGGAGTTCAAGAAGTGTGGATTGCAGATTTGGACTCTTTTCCAGATCTCAGATACCAAAATTCTACTGGAAGGGTACCTGTAGCAACTTCATTCCTCTGATTGGATAATTATTCCCGGGAAAGGAGAGTTCCTCACAACCCACAGCCCAAGACTCTACAGAAGGAACACTTGACTCATTTGACTGCCTTTAAAGTCACAGCTGACGACTGTTGTTTTTAGCTGTACTTCATTAGGCTCGCCCCAGTTAGAATGCACAGCGCTGATGCCAAGACGTGTGCTGCGCGGTTTGGAAAAGTTAGAAAAGCTGAGCCTGTCTGATTGATTGAATTATTACAAATTGGTTATTTCAGAGGTACACTCGCAGGCATGTTGGACTTGCAAAACAGAGCCAAATAAGAACATTTGGATTCGCTGCCAGTTTCAAATTCTATGTGCTGAAAACCCACCAAATTTCAGTTTTCATTACTTGAAGTACCATCAGACAAACAGCATGGAAATTTGTTTCTCTGCTTCCTCTTCATACCACGATAGTATAGCTCTTAATGTCCAAGCAGCAATAGCTTTTCATCTTCCCAAACAGTAGCCAACCACATTCTCTTGATGCTTTTGAACTGAAGACAGAGAATCCTGGGGACAGGATATTGTAGTGGGACTTTTCCTATAGGAAGCCTTTCCTTTCCTTGATTGCAACCTGGTGTTCTTTCTTGGCTTAAGGGCATACCATAAAACCAAGCCCTTGAAATTGATGTTCCGAAATTTGCAAATGGAACTCTAAACACATGTGATATTTCCCCCTTAATATCCGGTTAACTAATATAGGTGTTTGTGTTTTAATGATTGTTTATATCTTCCATTTAATCCTTAAGGCATGCCGATCCTGCAGAGTGACTAAATTAAAAAGTAGATTCCTGAAATGTATAGTACTGTGGTTGCTCTATGAGAGTAAAGGATCATGCTCTAAACCTGTTACTTGTTATATTAGCAAAAGTGTGTGTGTGTGTGTGTGTGTGTGTGTGCGCGCGCGCGCGTGTATTGACATCTGGCCTTTAGAGTTGATGTCTGTATTATATACATTTTTTAAAATCAACTAGTCAGTTCAGGTGTGTTAAAGTAGAAGGCAGTGGATGGTTATCAGAGGTGTGATGTCACTCTGAAGTTACACGTCCTGGTGCAGGATAGGCATGGGATTCATCATTCTCTAGAATTTAGAAAAACAAAATATTAAGATGAGAGGCCCCATTATTTAGGGTTAAACAGTACAGGGAACCAACTCCCTGACTCCTCAGACCGATGCTGATCAAGAGTAGAGGTTTCACCCTCTCCTTGCAAAGGTCCATTAAATAACTAAGGTTATTACATCATGTTATCGTCTTTCCTACCTAACATACATAAATTCAGGATTTTAAAATGAATGTTTTTTTCTCTCTTTTTTTTTGCTCTAAGAGCCACACATACCTGTTTATTCGATGGCAACATGATTGCCCGATACTCTATGGTTAAGATTCGGGGAGGGGAATGTGGCCTGGCTATGGAGGATACCCTCGGAGAAATATTTCCAGTTGTCAGCAATGTTCTATTGGAGG